GATGACCCAGATTTAAACTAAGCAAACAACCTTTCTAACAAATTTCTAGGATATTTCGAGAGTGTTAACAATATTCTCCCATGTTTGGGCTCTGTGTCACAGATGACCCATATTTAAATTTGAAATAGAAATCATTGACACAACCTCTTGGACATATTTCTGGATATATGGGCTGAAAATGTTACCTCTAAATTAACAAGGCTTTTCCTTATTTGGTCTGTAACCTTTGAGCTGTCTGACCTTGTCTTTGACCCCAGATGCCAATATTCGAACTTGAGCTAGAAGTCATTTAAATGTCCTTCTGACAAATCTCCAACAGGTTATATGGGCTGAAAATGTTACCTTTAGTGTTAACATGTTTTTGTTTTTTTGTTGTTTTTTTTAAAAATATTTTGACTGTGTGACCTTGTTTTGACCCCAGGCGACTTATATTCAAACTTCACAATAAAAATCAACAAATCAACATTTTCCACAAATTTCCAGGATATTTGGACTGGACAACAGCCTTTAGAGTGTTAACAACAGTTTTCATTTTTGTGCCCCCATGTTAGTGGCGGGCATTTAGATTTACCCTTGTCCGTCCGTCTGTCCTTCCGTTCACTTTTGTGTCGCACGTAACTCAAGAAGTATTTGACCTAGAGTCATGAAACTTTACAGGAATGTTGATCAGCATGTGTAGTTGTGCACCTGGGTATTTTCATCTGGATATTTTTAGTATTTTCAGAGTTATTGCCCTTGACTTAGTAAAATTTTGCAATTTTCAACTTGTGTCGCATGTAACTCAAAAAGTATTTGACCTAGAGTCATGAAACTTTACAGGAATGTTGATCAGCATGTGTTGTTGTGCACCTGGGTATTTTCGTGTGGATATTTTTAGTATTTTCAGAGTTATTGCCCTTGACTTAGTAAAATTTTGCAATTTTCAACTTGTGTCGCATGTAACTCAAAAAGTATTTGACCTAGAGTCATGAAACTTTACAGGAATGTTGATCAGCATGTGTTGTTGTGCACCTGGGTATTTTCGTCTGGATATTTTTAGTATTTTCAGAGTTATTGCCCTTGACTTAGTAAAATTTTGCAATTTTCAACTTGTGTCGCATGTAACTCAAAAAGTATTTGACCTAGAGTCATGAAACTTTACAGGAATGTTGATCAGCATGTGTAGTTGTGCACCTGGGTATTTTCGTGTGGATATTTTTAGTATTTTTAGAGTTATTGCCCTTGACTTAGTAAAATTTTGCAATTTTCAACTTGTGTCGCATGTAACTCAAAAAGTATTTGACCTAGAGTCATGAAACTTTACAGGAATGTTGATCAGCATGTGAAGTTGTGCACCTGGGTATTTTCGTGTGGATATTTTAGTATTTTCAGAGTTATTGCCCTTGACTTAGTAAAATTTTGCAATTTTCAACATGTGTCGCACGTAACTCAAAAAGTATTTGACCTAGAGTCATGTAACTTTACAGGAATATTGATCAGCATGTGCAGTTGTGCACCAGATATTTTTGTCTGGATTTATTTAGTATTTTTAGAGTTATTGCCCTTCACTTAGAATTTTTTTTGCAATTTTCAACTTGTGTCGCAAGTTACTCAAAAAGGATTTGACATAGTCATTAAACCTTATGGGCAGGTTGCTCAGCATATTTAGATTTGCACATGGGGTTTCGCTTGTGGATTTATCCAGTATTTGTAGAGTTATTTTCACTTGACTTAGTAAAAAGATTGACAGATCAGTGGCGCGGTGGGGGCACATGTGTCCTATGGACACATTTCTAGTTTTTTTATATGACAAAGATTTTCATTCGAGCAGACCTATATTCGAACACCTCTGAGTAATACTGGGACAAACATCATGATTATGTTTTATGACAATTAGGGAAAAATGAGACCACTAGAGTGTTAACAAAAGTGTGGACAGATAATAGACATTCATCATTCCAAATAGCTAACTCTAAGCTTACAGATCATGTGAGCTAAACAACAACAACAAAAAATACAAAACAAAACAATGATAAATAAAGAAATACTATTAACCCAAATTACTATACAGTGTCAGCACCTACTTTGTTGTAAAAACATGTATGTTGTTATCTATGCAAAGAATAATGAGCAGATGAAACTACTTTTATTAGAGAGGAAGGCAGATGGAGTCTTACCAATCTTGCAATATAACTGGCTTTGTACAATTTAATTTTGTTTGTTTTTTTGTTAAAAGGGACAGGGTTTTTGTTTTAAAAACTGAAATAAACTGTTCACAATTTTCCTGCATTTTTTAATTTAAGAAAAGGGTGCAAGACAACTGAAATAAACATACATTTAGTACAGCATATCAAACAAAATTTCAATTCAAACGTTCATCAATAATAGGTAAATCAAAATCAATTTATAAATTGAAGGAAAAAAACTTTATTACATGTAATTTTTAAAACAAAGCATTTAAAAAAAGAACATAATTTAAATCTGTCCAGGTTTGACTGGAAACATGATAATAAGGCTTATGATATAAAATATTATATATATATATATACATTACTCACAATTTATGTCCATATCTAAAAACATTTCAACATAGTTTTACCATCCCTTGTCCTTTCTTTATGAGAAGCTAAATATCAACATCCTTTTTAAGCAAGTTGACACCAATCATATTTGTAAGCCAGTGGACAACACTTGCTCTTCTTCCTTTATAAGTAAGCAAGATGACAGCCACCAAGCTCCTTTTTTATAAGCTTGCTGACATAATGAAACCCTCCCAATTTTATATGACAAAATTGACACTCCTTATTTTATAAGACAAACTAAACCATCCTTATTTTATAAGCTAGTTGAAACCTTTCACACTTATAAGTCAATGAGTGGACACTACTCCCCTTAATTTCTTTATAAGCAAGATGTGGCACCCACACGCCTCTCTGTTAGTCATTGGGTAACACCCACCCTTATTTCTTAAATGTCAGTATAAACAACACCCACCTACCTCTTTTGATCAGTAAATGAAATCAGACAGAAACTATTATATTACAAAAGGTATTATGAGATTAGTTATGCCTCACAATATGATCTGTTTGGTGTTATGTTAGTGTACCACAATAATTATTTCAGAAAAGTATATAAAAGTAAACGATACACTTTAGATTAAAATATTATCACAAAAGTTCGTTTTTCCTGAAGAACAGAATGAAAGACAAGTTTTATTCTAGATTAAAAACTGTAAAAAAAAAACCGACATCAAATACATATGTTATGTTTTTATGATGAAATAAATCATTGCCGATCACTCAGTTATGCTGACCTCTTCAGATGTGTCTATGTTTCTATGATGAAATAAATCATTGCTGACCTTGTCATTTTCACTATAAACAAATAATATTTAACATTGATAAATTCTTCATACAGGTTTCTAGGATCAAATATATCACTGCTGAGTCCCTAACATCACTTTTGTGTCTACGATCAAATCATTGTTGACTTCTCACCACTTCTATGCATTAAATTACCACTATTCTGAGTACAGTTCTAACAACATTTCTGGTTAACATTTTCATCTCAGCTGACTGCTTATAACTTTTCGAATATCATATATGTACAACAATTTAACCATTACAAACCTCAAAGTTGATTGCGTTTAAAACATGATCATGTTTTGAAATATCTTGTAATATATATACAGGAAATATATATTCTACATGTACAGTGACTTATCAATTCAGATGACAAATGTTTATAATAACAAAAGTATATTTATGTACACGCAAAAAACTTATACATATTTAAATAATCACTTTCATAGCTATTTGATTTTTTTGTACATCTCAACTTGATATCACATTTTCTATCCCTCACAAAAGATAATTCAAATAAACAATCTTCATATACGTTGTTTTTTTTTAAACATTATTTAACAATATATTTGTAAAACAACTGCTCCTGTTGTTACTCCATCTTTTACCACTAGATGTTGTACTGCTATTTCCCCAGATGTTTTCCTTCTCAACACAAACTCCAAAGCATTGCATGTTGTAGATGCCCCTTTTGATTACAACAACTTCTGTTTGTCGAATTATTATTCGTATCAAATATTTTTTGGCTGAGAACTGAATGCAGTATGTCATGTTACTCTTTGTGGTTGAATTGACTAAATGCACATCATTTGAAAGACATTTGAAAGACATAATGGAAATTTTAACATTTGATAACTTCAAGTACGGTACACACAAAACAAATATACTCTTAAAAGCACACTCAGCAAATTGAAACAGTTTGAAAAATGCATCTGTCATACTTAAATAAAAAGGCCAAACATGCTTTAATGGGAAATCCATGCTGAAAGTTGCCAAGTCATTCTACTATGAGAACATGAACTTTGTAAGTGTACAAAATTCTGTTGCAATGTTATCAAATTATCAAATAAGAACAGTTATACATAATTATATTTTTGGTAAATGTTTTATTTAAAACAAAAATAAATCATATGTCGAACTGGAAGTAAAGAAATGTGTTTTTTCAATAGATAATTCTTTATTTATGTTTGAAATTACTGAAATTGAAATTTATTATTTGAGCAAAAAGCCAACTTTCAATATGATCCATCGAGTAAATATAAAATACACTTTTAATCTATATATCTACTACAGACAAATCTACTACTTCTATTATATACATTGTAGTCATATAAATTTATAAAGTTTGTAAAAAAATAAAATATCACAAGTGCCTCTTTCATTTGTTTCATATGATATTATCCAAGTAAAGTGTGTATAATGAGCAGATAGTCATAACATATACCCTTACATTTTTTCAATAAATTAAGATGGTTATATAACAATGAATGGTGTATGGTATATTATAAAACAATATTGCACTGTTCTTTCCCCTTCCAGTCCAACTTCTAACATATAACTATTTATTGAAACACATAAAGAACAGAAAACTAACAAATTTACAAACTTATAAAAATAATATTTCAATAAGCAATAACAATTTTGATTTTACTCTTAATCTTGTTTTTTTTTTTTTTTTTAACGTATGTATTTTATGGGAATGAATTGTAAAAAAAAAAAAGTGATGAATGAAAAATGGTGACATACAATAAGCAAGATTTTTCAGTGGTACGACACAAAACGGGTCATATATTGCACATAAGTTCAATAAGTCCACTCAACTCGTACATATATTATCTTACAAATATTAATAACTCATCCCAACAATGTGTTTTTTGTTTGTTTTTTTTTTCAATTCCTTTTTTGTATGTCAATATCAACACCCTTTTGGTTATATCTCGGCAGTTGATCCACCTAACCAGCTTTCCCGCAAAACTCAACAGTTATTATCAATATCTCCGCAAGTGATCCACCACTTTTCTCACGTGGTTTCTCAAACAACAATTTGAGATGACTGACCATCAGTTGTCTTGTAGAAATTACACCTCTCCAGAGTACCACACCAGCGACCCCTGCAATACTTATCCAATGAGCTCCCTATCAATTTGAAAAGTAGATCACAAATATCATGATAATGCATAGTAGTCCGAGCAGATGAGATTTGGTCAATATCAGAAATATGGCTATAAAATGAAATAAATCGTGCAACAGGGTTTGAAGTTTGATACCCTTCTACTCCTATCTTTTTGATGAAAGTTATCAAATTGAGGTTCTTCAATTTTTATGTTGTCTGTATAAAATAATAGCATTTTACCATAGATAAGTTGAAGACCTTTGTATAGTTTGACATCTTTGATCTTGATATATTTTTCACATCTATTATGGCCGATATGTTAATTGCCAATTAACTTGACTGAATAGACTGAAGATAATTATACAGTGGCATTTTGTAATAGCCTTCATACGCCTTTTTTTGTGTGAGAATATATTTTAACCGTATTCATTCAGATGTCACATACACTTGATGAATTAGTTTCATTATGGCTACTTTCATTGACTGACTTGTTATAATTAGCAGTTGTCCCTTGATAATTACACCGGATAAATTTGCTATAATCTGTTAAAGCTTAACCATTTCATTTTGTTATGCATTTTGAAATTCACTTGTAAAATGTAGACATCTCTAAATTTTGTCAGTAAATTCAGTGAAGTCCTGATACCTCAAAATTTTTCATGCCTATATAAAATATGACGGCTATAAATTTAATGCATGGAAAGAACAGGCAATATACCAATCACCATAATGTTCAATTTTTGCATATTACCAATCAAGAAGTAATGATAGCTTAAACATATTTATTCAAGCGATAATTGCATGAAGCCAATAATGTGTCCTCTTCCTGGAACTAACCAGTATTTGTGTCATAAAGGAACATTGTTATGACCTCAGCAGGGCAAGAACCTTAACTCACTATAGGACATTGTTAGTCATCCAGAAATGAATTGTAGCAAACAATCAAGTTAAATACTGTTAAAAGAATATTATCAGATATAGTCAACTTTATTCAAATAGTATATCTCAAAAAAGGAAAATCTGAACATAAAAATAGTTTTACTTACATAAACGTCTGACATCAAAAACAAAAATATAAATATATAATTAGGAATTAGATAAAGAGTATATGAAAAAAGTTACACTTTTGATAATACATCATTTTAATCATATGTGATGTTAAATTCAAATCTTTTGGAAATATAGAAAATAGTAGTAAGAAAAATTGTATAGTAAATGTGCTAGAGAAATTCCAATTATTTAACTTGTCTTTTAAATGTTCATGTAATATATTGCTATACAAACAATCTGATAAACATGTTAAATCAAATATCACAATATCATATTTTATACATTTAAGGCACCTTTTTTTTCTAAATGTAGTAAAAAACATATACCGGAATGTAAAGTTATATTTAAGATAAAAACTTTCATTACAAAACAATTTAGCATTTACAAGATGAAAACTAACTGGAAAATTTAAAGCCGTTGACAAAAACCTCAAATGAAAGCAACTACATGTACAATGTTTTTTATACAAATGTAAGCATATATAGTGCACATAATACAACAGAGATAGCCAATGATATAATAAGCGATACAATTTTATTGCAGTCAAAAATTTAGAAAAATAATTATTTTTATACTTAAATGGTAAATAAACAAAATTACTGTTCACAAGTTGACAATATAATATATACAAATAACATAGATTATTACAACCTAAATGGCAGTGACATGTGAATTCTAATTTCACAGCCCAGTGTGCAGTGAACTGATGTGCATTTAGTAAATTCTGAATGGCATGTAAAATTGCATGTGTATCGAGTAACATGTTAACATATTTGTTTGTAATGTACAACTTCCACAAAGGAACATACATTTTGCATTCAGTTCTCATTGGGGCATCTAAAAATGCGTATTTCCTGACACTGGGCCTTGGTAGTTTAAAGGAACATCTGGATAAGTTTGTCCAATACTCAGTTCCTTGCTGAAACTGTAAAAACAAGACATGTATAATTCATAATCAAAACATATAAACACAAAGTGTGCCAATTTGTCACAAAATATGCCTAACATAAACACTCACTATAGGGAACATTTACATTTTAATCCCACAGTTCATGATTTATGATGAATAATTGATAAATATTAACATTTTTCAATTTCTTATCTCATTTATGAGAACTTTGCCCACAATACTAGAACATTTGTGTCAAGTTATATGACAATCCCTCTATGGCATGAAGTAGTTTCACTATAGACAGTGACCTTGAACTTTGACCTTGAGAACAAACACTCTTACCAAATGATTTCTTAACTAACTAGATACAGTTTTTAGAATGAAAAATATCACAGGAAGGTTTTCATAAAATATATAATTTGAAAAAGATAATAATACCTATGTAATAAAGAATTATTTTTTTCCAGCTCTCTTTTCATGTCCATTACAGTTTTTTGGTGATCTTCCAAACTGAAGTATAAAAAAATCAACATCAACTACAACACAATCTTGTAGATTCATACCACTAATTTTATAACCAATGACCTCACATTTAGTACTACTGTCTGCTAGTGATATACATCTAACTTGCTCTAAAACCATTTTCTAAACCCTATAAAACTCATATTTGCACTTTTTTAAATGAAGAAAAACTTCATTCATTTCTCTGGCATAAAGTGCCTTTAATATAAACAACAGCAATGCAGGAGTTTGCAGAGGAAAATAAGTAAGTGAAAAAATCCATTTTAGAAATACTGGTCTAGATTTCATGTCCTATAGATATGATCTTAAGAAATGTGAAGTTCTAGTACATGATAAAGCTATTCAGTGGTTTATATATGAGAAACATTGATAAATGTAAAACAATAACCAACATCAACACTCATGGCAAATGAGAAGGCTGGTGATCCAAGACACAGGGTCCAGGATTCACAGATCTGACAATACTCCAATTTCAAAGAAGAAATTGAACATTATTTTCTATATATTGTAATCACTGTAGAATACTGAATAACATATATTTGATTATCTGGTTACAAATAGCTTCAACAATACAATAAAAAAAACTAGAAATGTGTCCATAGGACACGGGTGCCCCCACCGCGCCACTGTTCTGTCAATCTTTTTACTAAGTCAAGGGAAATAACTCTACAAATACTGGATAAATCCACAAGCGAAACCCCAGGTGCAAATCTAAATATGCTGAGCAACCTGCCCGTAAGGTTTAATGAATATGTCAAATCCTTTTTGAGTAACTTGCGACACAAGTTGAAAATTGCAAAAATTTTCTAAGTGAAGGGCAATAGCTCTAAAAGTACTAAATAAATCCAGACGAAAATACCTGGTGCACAACTGCACATGCTGATCAATATTCCTGTAAAGTTTCATGATTCTAGGTCAAATACTTTTTGAGTTACGTGCGACACATGTTGAAAATTGCAAAATTTTACTAAGTAAAGGGCAATAACTCTAAAAAAACAAAAAATATCCAGACAAAATACCCAGGTGCACAACTACACATGCTGATCAACATTCCTGTAAAGTTTCATGACTCTAGGTCAAATACTTTTTGAGTTACATGCTACACAAGTTGAAAATTGCAAAATTTTACTAAGTCAAGGGCAATAACTCTGAAAATACTAAAAATATCCAGACTAAAATACCCAGGTGCACAACAACACATGCTGATCAACATTCCTGTAAAGTTTCATGACTCTAGGTCAAATACTTTTTGAGTTACATGCGACACAAGTTGAAAATTGCAAAATTTTACTAAGTCAAGGGCAATAACTCTGAAAATACTAAAAATATCCAGACTAAAATACCCAGGTGCACAACTACACATGCTGATCAACATTCCTGTAAAGTTTCATGACTCTAGGTCAAATACTTTTTGAGTTACATGCGACAAAAAAGTGAACGGACGGACGGACAGACGGACGGACAGACAAGGGTAAATCTAAATGCCCGCCACTAACTCGAGGGCACAATAAAACTATTTTTAATTTACAGTCATATGTTTATAAAATAAGGCCAAAATTTATCATATTTTGATATCAAATTAGCTTTAACAAAGATAAATGAGAAAAATTCTGAAATACACTTTCAGTTTTGTACATTTTCTCATACAATATAAGTAGTATTCAACATTTATCATATCCTGAATGAATACACCAATTAACCAATATTAGTATTGAGTAATGACACATTGGGTCACATTACATCTATACTTCACCAATGAAACTGTAATTAAATAAACTTTATACCGACACATAATTGTACTCTCTTTATCAAGTACAAGTATAATAATATATCGAGTGTGCATTGGTAATTTGATACTCACTAATGTTGGATTATTTCAGTACAAAAAGAAGATACCTTAACAATATCCCTTGAATGAGTTGAGGTCTTCTCTTCTTATTTTCACCCTTATAGGCACCGATCAACTCACTCTCTGTAAAGCTACTAGAAATCCCTTCTGTCTGTATCATTTGTCTTCTTATTTTTTTATTCTCATCTTTAGAAGAACCACTAGCAGCCATGCTCTCTGTTAAGCTACTGGCAATCCCTTGTCCAGGTGTTGCCAAGGAGATAAAATCTCTATCACTAATTGTCTCTTGAACCCTCTGAACTTTCAGCTTTAATTCATCATTGTATTGAAGGCAAAGCTGTATATAATAAAATACAACTTGAAAAAAAAGTTTACATAATGACATAATCATACATTTTTACTTCAGACTTAGTCCTTAACTCCTAAAAAGTTTGTTTATTGTCCAGCATAGACACCTAGAACTGTTTAATTTTAGTGTCTAGGATTCCTGTATGAATAGGTCTATAAGTAGCCTTAGCACTCAAAATGTTACCCCTCATGAGAATTTACCTTCCAACATTTGACATTGAGGGAATCAAGTCTTATGCTGTAACTTTCATTATTCTAAAAGTCAGTAGATATTGTATGACATATTCAGTTTTAGTTTACATTTTATGAAAATCAATTACTGACAAACAAAACACCACAGGCCATTGAGTACAAAAATATATTACAGCATTTAGTTTGTCAACAAATCCTTCGGATCTATCTGCAAGATTCAGCAACTTTTTCTCTAATATTTCGCATCTCTGTCTGACATCATAACCCAGACTGAAAAATTAAATATTTCAAAATTATTTAACGCTTAACATGCACAATATTTTAATTGATTAAATCTGGACATTTATCATTTAAGGGAAATATTTAAAAAATATACTGTCTGAATACTGAACAGTACAGACAATGATGAGACAGTACAGATGCACCAGCTTATCTTTGCACTGGATGCATGAGTAAATTCTATAGCTATCAGCAGGTCATGGATTAAGTCAATTCTTCTGATCAAGTGATGCTTAATTTATTGTTTCCTATATAAGTTATGCATCAGCATCACTTTAAATCTAAATACATTAATTCTTCTTTTAAAAGTAAAGAAATGATAACTTAAAATTTGTTTCTAGTACAAACCTGAACCATGAGTGATAGCGAGTAAACTGATCTTTTGCTCCAGCAAGACAGTGATCAAAGAATAAAGACTTGATCTTTGTACAGTTCTCACTAAGTCTATTCCTGAAATAAAACATTTGTTGATACAATATTCATCTTTATATAAATTAACATTAAGACTGACTTCATGCAAAATTTCAGAACCACAGCGTGTCTACATTCTCAACACATAAATGACTTCTAATTTTTAAAACGTTCATTATGGGCCAAGTCCTATCAATTAAATCTATAATTATGAACACATTATTCCAGTCAAGCTCATTGCCATGGATATGAAAGATCTCTTGACTTCTAGCTGTGATCAACTATAGCCTATACTAACAGTATAGAATCTGTATAGGCATACCAAAAAAATATTTCTTAGGTAAAGCACTTTGATATACTATATTTCATTTAATTAATAATAGATAATTCAAGATTAGGAAATGCATGATAAACAAATTAAATATCAATTTAACATTATAAAATTCAACTAATTCATTAACTTTATTCCTAGTGAATGGAAAATGACTTGTGATTAGAAGAATCTTACTTCTCATATTTATGAATCTGTTCTTCATTAAAAGAGAGGTTAGGACGCTTTCTGTCTTCTGAAAACTGTAACTTGATTTTCAATATTTGTTCCAGCACCACTTCAACTTTTGCAACACTGAAACAACAACAAAAACAACAACATCTTGATTTTTGTAAATAAACAAGACAAGGAACTCTAGCATTCTTGTTTAAGCTACTTAGATATGTAATATACTTCCAGGGAATCCATTAGTGGAAGTTTGGGAGTCATTTACACCTTGATTTTGGCCTCTGACTACCAAAAGATAATGCTTTTACCTTCTTCACGTATATAATGTGACTTCAGAGATTTTGTAGACTCTGACTTCCAAATTTTGAATCTTAATGGAAGCCCAGTACTTCATATGACATCTTATAATGTAAATAATTTACTATTTATCCTTACTGAAACAACTTACAAGCCAAAGAAACAGAAAAATGATCATCATAGAAGAAACAAGACAATTAACAATCAAAACAATTACATTTGAATATAAAAATGGGATAAACGTTCAAAATTTGGTGTAAAACACTGAAAGGCACATATTTTTGACATTAAAGAACCTGATTTTTTTCCAAATTAAGGGACTCTATAAGCAAACTGAACAAACATTATAAACAAAAGGGCCACGATGGCCCTGAAGTCACTCACCTGTATATAGGCCCCCCGGAGCGGGGCAAGTTTTGACCCCAGGGCTTTTATTTGAATAAACTTGGTAGACACCCATTAGAAGATGTTCATGCTAAACATCTAAGGTCTAGCTTGTTGGGTTTTTTAAAAAAAGATTTTTAAAGTTTTTTCTTTACACATATACTAGTATTTAAAAACAATGACACTCCTGGGCCAGGGCCAGTTTTGACCCCAGGGCTTTTATTTGAACAATCTTTGTAGACACTTACTAGAAGATGTTTCATGCTTAATATATAAACTCTAGCTATTCGGGTTATTTCCAAGAAGATTTTTAAGTTTTGCTATACACATATAAGTTTAATTATAAGGAAAATCAATGTCCCCCAGGGCGGGGCCAATTTTGACCCCAGGGCTCTTAGTTGAACAAACTTGGTAGACATCCATAAGAACATGTTTCATGCTAAATATCTTAGCTCTAGCTCTTTGGGTTCTTTAAAAGAAGATTTTTAAAGTTTTTACTATATACATATAGGGAAAATCAATGACCCCCTGGGGTGGGGCCAATTTTGACCCCAGGGCTTTTATTTGAACAAACTTGGTAGACACTCACTAGAAGATGTTTCATGCCAAATATCTAAGCTCTAGCTCTTTTGGTTTTTTAGAAGATGATATTTAAAGTTTTTTATATTGGTTGCCATGGCAACCAGAGTTCTGCATGGAATTAAATTCTTTGAACAATTTTCAAAGGTGACCACCAAAGGAACATTCCTGTGAAGTTTGGATGAAATTGGCTCAGTGGTTTATGAGGAGATGTCATTTAAAGTAAAAGTTTACGGACGCCGGACGAAAAGGGATCACAAAAGCTCACCCTGTCAAAAAGTGACAGGTGAGCTAAAAACATTGGTGAAGGGGGTATAACAAAGTTACTAACCATCTATCTTCTGATATACATCCAACACTATCATTCCACTGCTTCTTCAGAACCTTTTTCTGTAACTCTTGATCTTTGAGATCAACAAGGTGTGAAACTACCTCATTGCCAAGTGCCGATATCTATGGGAAAATAATTATCAATAAGGGATTAAAGGCACATTATGCTTTAGAAATTAACAAGATATGTCCTCTATATAAAGGCAAACCTGAGTTTATGTTTTCATAATGACCTTTGTAAAAAGCCAGAGAGCAGGAGGGTTCAGCTACATCACTAACTCACAAATGAGTATCTCTTTTGAAACTGAAACAGAATTTCAAAAATAACTAAAAAATATGTCCATAGGACTCTTATGAACCCAATTTACTTGCCTGTCATGTGGCATATCTTATAACTTATGCATATTTCATAAGTTTTATACAGGGGCGTCCGTGGCCGAGTGGTTAAGGTCGTTGACTTCAAGCCACTTGCCCCTCACCGCAGTGGGTTCAAATCTCAACAGGGACTTTGGACTCTTTCATGTGAGGAAGCTATCCAGCTAGCTTACGGAACGCCGGTGGTTCTACTCAGGTGCCCATTCCTGCCTGAAATAATGCAAGGAAGGGCACCTGAGGTCTTCCTCCACCAGTAAAGCTGGAACGTCGCCAAATGACCTATACTGTGTCGGTGTGACATAAAACCCAATCAAAACAAAACAAAATAAGTGTTATACATATAAGGAATATTGGTAATAAATATCTTTTCCCTGATACATTTCACCAACCGATAACTGAAACAAGAGATGCCATGCAAGTGACGAATGCCCCTTAAACAGTTTCTTAAGCATGCAGGTATTATGAAAAGAAAACAAGAATGAAAGTAACTAATTGCTTAATACTGTTCTTGTGAAATAAAGTGCTTTTAATAGCAAACTTTACACCTTTGGATAAGGGTCTTGGATGCGACACATCATTTTGCCAAGTTATTTTCAAATCCTTGGCTTCAATGCACGACAATGTTACAGTTTGGAACCTATAATGTGTACCTTCAAACTCTTCTTATAAGCATCAGTACCTTCAAACTATTAGAGTGACCTTGACCTTGGAGGTAGGAACATGGGTCTTACACACACACGTTAGCTTGATGTGGTAGACATTTATGCCTTGTTATTTTAAATTCCTTCGATGCACGACAAAGTTATAGTCCGGACACGAATGCCTGTACCTATAATCTCTAATTGTGATAGTGTGAACCTTTAAAAGTGTGACCTTGATCTTTGAAGAAGGGACTTGGTTCTTGGACGCAACACAACGTTGTCATGTGATAGACATTTAAGCCAAGTTATTTCAAAATCCCTCAATGCATGACAAAGTTAAAGTCTGGACATGATTGTTGTGTAAGTGGGGACGCAAGGACGGACAGACAGACATGAGCCTTAGCCGCAACACATCATCGTGATGTGGTAGACATTTGTGCCAAGTTATTTTAAAATCCCTTCCATGCATGACCACGTTACAGTCCGGACATGATTGTGTATCTTTAAACTCTTCTCGAGAGAATGGTTACCTTCAAACTGTAAGTGTTACCTTGACCTTGAAAGTAGGGGACATGGGTCTTAGACGCGACATGTAGTCCTAATGTGGTAGACATTTATGCCTTGTTATTTTAAAATTCTAAGATGCACGACAAAGTCACAGTATGGACACAAAGTTACAGCCCAGACACGATTATGTGTACCTTTAAACTCTAATTGTGATAATGTGAAACTTCAAAATGTTAGTGTGACCTTGACCTTTGAGGTTGGGACATAATTTTTGGACGCAAAACAACGTCTTGACATTTAAGCCAAGTTATTCTAAAATCCTACAATGCCTGACAAAGTTACAGCCCAGACACGATTATGTGTACCTTTAAACTCTAATTGTGATAATGTGAAACTTAAAAATGTTAGTTAGACCTTGTCCATTGAGGTAGGGATGTGTTTCTTGGATGCGACACATCATCTTGATGTGGTAGACATTTGTCCCAAGCTATTTCAAAATCCCTCAATTTATGACAAAGTTACAGTCCGGACACAAATGAAGTGGGGATGCACAGACGGACAGACAGATAGACGGATGGTGCGATTTTAATATGCTACCCTTCGGGAGCATAAAATCTTGAATAGACAAGTATTTGACATCAAATGTTACTGTGACCTCAAAATTAGTACAGGTCATCTATAATCAATTTTCCTACTAAGTTTTACAAACTTATTTGAGGTGAGGATTATATTGCAAACAACCGTTTATATACGGTCATATAACCTGTCAAAAGTCTTTATAACTAATGATATAACCATGTACATCAGTCAACGAGTGTATCAAAGATGCTATCTTAAAAAACAAACTTGTGTGTAGACTCAATACATGACAATATGATTTCAGTAAAATATGGCATTTTATAGCTTTTTTTATTCAGTTGATTATCAAGTAGAAAGGTATATTCATAAAATAGGGATCTCCTCTATTTCAGACATTACCTGTGAAGAGAGTTCTCCAATATTCATTTCACTCTGTTCATGAAAAGCTTCAAGATCTGTTAAAATATGATTTAATTGAATGTCTGAACTTTTCACTAAAACTCCGACCATGGTTAACTCCCTTTTGAATGTTCGTAAAAAATTATCTTTCCACTTCATAATACTGTCACAATTCCTTTCCAAAAAAGTATGATAGTCCACTAAATGTCCAAGTTCATGATACAGATCGTGGCTGAAATAAATATAATTCATGGCTGAAAAATGAATCCAGATTTAATGGACACTACCAAAGGGAAATACTTAAAGGGTAATGATAACAAAAAAGAATCACAATGTCCTGTTTTTCTTTGATTCAAAATAGAACACAATGTGAAATAAAACAAGAGGGCCATGATGGCCCTGAAATCAATCACCTGTATATAGGCCCTTGGGGCGGGGCTAATTTTAAGCCAGGGGCTTTTTTAACCAACTTGGTAGACACCCATTAGAAGATGTTTCATTATAAATATCTTCGCTCTAGCTCTTTGGGGGTTTTAAAAGAAGATTTTCCTTATATTTCTATAGTAAAAACTTAAAAAATCAGACTCCCGGGGCAGGGCCAATTTAACCCTGGGGCTTTTATTTGAACAAATCTGGTAGACACTCACCAGAAGATGTTTCATGCTTAATATCTAAGCACTAACTCTTTGGGTTTTTAAAAAAAGATTTTTTTAAGTTTTTACTATATAAATATATGGAAAATCAATGACATCCTGGGCGGGGCCAATTTTGACCCCAGGGCTATATTTGAACAAACTTGGTAGACACACATCAGACAATGTTTCATGCCAAATATTTAAGCTCTAGTTCTTTGGGTTTTTTAAAAGAAGATTTTTTTTTAAAGTTTTTACTTTATAAATATAAGGAAAATCAATGACCCCCTGGGGCGGGGCCAATTTTGACCCCAGAGCTTTTATTTGAATAAACTTGATAGACACTCACTAGAAGATGTTTCATGCCAAATATTTCAGCTCTAGCTCTTTGGGATTTTTAAAAGAAGATTTTTTAAAACTTTTTACTATATACATATAACGAAAAGCAATGACCCCCTGGGGCGGGGCCAATTTTGACCCCAGAGCTTTTATTTGAACAAACTTGATAGACAATTACTAGAAGATGTTTCATGCCATATATCTAAGCTCTAGCTCTTTCAGTTTTTTAAAAGCAGGTATTTTAAGTTTTTTTCTTTCGATTGCCATGGCAACCAGAGTTCAGCATGGAAGTAAATTCTTTGAACAATTTTTAAAGGTGACAACCAATGGACCATTTCTGTGAAGTTTGGATGAAATTGGCTCAGCGGTTTATGAGGAGATGTTGTTTAAAGTAAAAGTTTACGGACGACGGAGGGTTGGCGGACAAAAAGTGATCACAAAAGCTCACCATGTCACTTTGTGACAGGTGAGCTAAAAATAAAAACAATATTGTTCCAGCTTATGTTTATTTATTTTTTTTTAAATCAAATAATTATATAAATACCAAAGTTCAGAATTCGAACTACCTCAAAAATAGATAAAATTAAATTTCAAAATAAATATTTAAATGGAATTCAAAATAATATGAATTATTTTTTAGTTTGTTTGGATTTTTACAGCACGTCATCACATAACTTGCCATATCGTGCTGAATGCAATAATAGACTTAAAATGTTATGTAAAACTTTGTAAATGACAATATATGAATTATACTGAACAGTTTGTTTGCATTGTATTATTATTCTTTATTAACTTTGCTAAGGTCATACTAAGTGTAAAATTTTTCAGATTACCTTGTATAGGAAGACATCTGATGCCCTTCTTTAATTTAGGAGCACACCCTTCAGTAAATTTACTGACATTCAAGAACCTGGCTATTTTTCAGAACAGATTAAAATGATAATATTTGCCACATTTTACAATTACACGCATGCTTTAAAGACATCCATGCTGTCAAGAGACAAGAGTCCCTTTTCTTAAAATAATGGCTACTTACATATACATGTGCACTGCCCGTCTGACAAGTTCTTGTTTCATAGAGTATAACTCAACTTCCTTTAGAATATAACAACTTATTGCAGAACACATCTTGGCTATAGCATAGTCGTCTGTAGTTAAACTTGATGTGAACCTCGGAAAGTCCTCTGAAATGTTTTGTAATGTCAGTTTAAAACCAAATATTGAGACAGTCTTTGTAACTCCTTGTTTGAAGTGATGTTATGTCTACAAAAAGCCTTAATATCCCCCCCCCCCACCCCCGAAGCAGATTTCACATTTATTGGTAAGCTTGTAGCAACTCCCAGAGAGATGTGTTTAGTGACTGATATTTTCCTCAGGAATTAGCAACAAACCCTTGCCAAGGGAAACAACTACAGTAAACTTCACTTACAGCGAACACGGTTATAGCGAACTTCCGGTTATAAGGAACAATTTATTTTGGCCCGAATTTTGCCCTTCTTTATTTAATATAAAAATATACGGATATAGCGAACACAGTTATAAGGAACTCATATCTTGGTCCCAATTAAGTCAAAAGTACAGGAAATTACACTTTTATAACAAACTCCAAAATATCGGCTATCCGAACATAGACTTTCGTTTTCATTGGCACAGATTAAAAGTCAGCCGAATGTACTGTTTATTGTTGTATGTACTTCAAGACATCTATTAAAATGAATTTCTATAGCAGTATGTTATAGTTTTCAATTCAGGATACTTTTTGCATGAGTTCTTGTCACCAAGATAAAACAGTTATTCCCTTGTATTCTATTATTTCTTTTCTTTAATAGTTTTGCTCCAGTAAAATAATCATGATCATTTATAACTGCTTTTCAACATAATCAAGCATGCTTGCTAATCTATTGAAATCTACAAAGTATGCTTGATTAAAATGAAAAGAAATCTATATATTTCATAAGTAAAAGTCTCCCTTAAAATATAGTAGAAGATATTCGATATAAAAGGAAGGAAAAATCCAAAATATTGTGTATTCTTGATTATGGAAAGAACACGAAAAGCATTGAGTTTAGAAATAAAATATGATATTTTATGAGAAATTGAGAAAGGGATTACAACTAAAACTGAAATAGCAAAGTATAAATTCTCGGGTATTGTGTGTAAAAATTCTCGGTTATTGTGTGTAAAACAGAAATAAATGACTATTTTTTCTTAATCAAATGCTCTTAAACAATCAGTTCGTTATATGTAAATCTGTTCGCTATAAAAAATCCTGATATAAGGAACTAATTCGCTATATGCTTACAAGGAACTCCGGATATAAGGAACATATTTTGAATGTCCCAATGAGTTCGTTATAAGCGGAGTTTACTGTATAATGTTACTCAACATCAACTACCAAGTTGTTTTATCTACATTGTAGTAATAAGAATGCAATTATGCAACATAAGTGAAAATTATAACAACAAAATGAAAATATGAATCAAGAAAATAGAAAGAAATTCAAGAAAAACACACTTACTTATGTTTGGTACAGGGAATCTTGAAAAATCATCCATGTGTTTAGTGTAAACAAAAATTGGGTTTGTTTCTGTGATTCCCTTTGGATAACTTGATATGGGTAACATTGCCTGAACATGATCCTTTAATTGTTGACCATCAAAGATCAGTAACTGACTAGGAGCAAATATTTCTGTCTGTTCTGCTATCAGCTCTTGAAGCGTTGTTAAACTTCAATGTAATAATTAAACCAATTAGATATAATATATATTTTGTCACAACACATACAATAATGTACATCAAACTTTCAAAATAACAATATTTATGTTTAAAATTTTTTTCTATGTTTCAATTCAATAATGTTCCTAATATATGGTGAAGAACAAATGTCTTCAAAGCACAGGAGTTAGCCTTTGTAAGGCAAGGTAACTATAAAAAGAGTGTTACAAGAGTACAGAAACATTAAGAAACACTTTCTTTAATTCTCAGTATGACCAATAACTTTAAAAGGTAAATATCTATAAAGGAGCTACCAAACTAAATCATCAATTAAATATTTTGACATCCAAATATTACCTTTGGCCTTCTGACTCTTAAACTGATGTTACAAAAATTAATGCCTAGTTTTTTTTATTAAAAAACATCCATGAATGGCAAAATGATGACAGAACATAACCATTAATGTACTTTTATACAATTATTACCTTTAAAATCAAAGTTAGGTCTTGACTTCAAACTTCTTTTCACTTATGACACATTGTTTTAAAGTTCCAAATATTTATTCAGTTATTTCATAATCCATCTATGATTTCAATCAAACATTCATGTACTTTTAAGAAATATTATACTTTAAGTCTAAATGTGGCCCATAGCTACAAACCTGTGTCTTGCATGTGACATGTTGTCTCAATATGGCCCAAATTATTTAAATTGGATTCAAAATCAATCCACTCAAAGTTATAGATTGTGCCCAACTATTTTTTCACAATATTACAACTTTTGATATCTAAGTGTGTTACCTTGACCAAAATGCTGGAAATGTTTGTTCAATCATTTTTGACAGGGCATAAGTCAAAAAGTATTTGATGCAACAACTTTAAACTAAACACGTAAGTGTTTAAGATATCAGCTTCAATCTTTATAGGGCCTCTGAATGCTGCACATTTATGTTTGGTTATCCCACAAACATTGGCCTGTGAAAGCTGGACAAGATTTTTCTATTTATAGCTCTGGTGGCCATTTTGTTCAGCGAAGCAGAACATGCCCGCGATATGCTCAACTAGGGATGGTACTGATCACTCCTGTAAAGTTGGGTTGAAATCCCACCAGCAGTTTGACCTGTGAAAGCCAGACAGGATTTTTCTATTTTTAGCTATAAAGGCCATTTTGTGCAGCAAAGCGTAATGTGCCAGCTATGTGCACAACTAGGGATTGTACTGATCACTCCTGTAATGTTTGGTTGAAATCCTACCTACAGTTTGACCTAAGAAAGCCGGACAAGCTTAATGCGGATGGACAGACTTACTACCAGACTGATGGACAGACGTGAAGGCAAAAACAATTTGTCTCCCAAAAATTTTAGGAGACATAATTCATGAAAATTACTGATCACATTCTTACTCCTCTTTAATCATAAGTTTTTTGTTGTTTTTTTTTTGCACAACACTGTGCCAATTTTTGAGCCAATTAATTCTTAGTCTTCTGCTGCAATAAATAAAAGAGATATACTTACTTGTTTTCACTTTTAATATACACTTTGAGACTATTCCATGTGTGTGGACAGAATACATGTATCACTTTCTTTTTCACTATAGAGTCAATTTCTTTAAAACAAGCGTCAAAATTCCACACTTTACTTGGGTCAGATTCCAATAGACGAGCAAATATTGGTGTTATCAAAATCTTTAATCCACTGGAAATAACAAAAACTTTATTTAGTCTAATTCTATCGAAAAAGAACACCAATAAAAATATTAAATATAATAACAAGAGCTGTTTGTAGGACAGCATGCTTAACTATTCTTAGTGTTTGATAGTAAAAGAGCATTGATAATGTTAAATTTCACAATGTTTTTCCAAATCCATGTTACAGTTATAAAGCAAGACATTAATGAAATATGAAAATATCTGAGGTGGTACCCAAACTAACATAAATTCTGAGGTGGTACCCAAACTAACATAAATTCTAAGTCGGAAAAGAGGCATTATTCTGTCAAAATGCTTGCTATAGTTAACTCTCCTGTCTACAGGTTGGGGGCATAATGGAACAAGTGTGCAAAGTTCCAAAGCCATATATCAATGGGCTTTGAAAATATTTGAGGTGGTATGCAAACTTTAACATAAATTCTAGGTCAAAAAAGGGGCATAATCCTGTCAAAATGCTTGATAGAGTTACTCCCTCCTCCTGTGTACAGGTTGGGGTAATGATGGTGAACAAGTGTGCAAAGTTTCAAAGCCATATGTCAATTGACCTTGAAAATATTTGAGGTATTACAAAAACTTTAAGGTAAATTCTAAGTTGAACAAGAGCTGTCAGTAGGACAGCAACGCTCGACTATTCTTAGTGCTTGATAGTAAAAACAAGAGCTGTCGGTAGGACAGCATGCTCGACTATTCGAAGTGCTTGATAGTAAAAGATCCCAAAGTTCACAAAAGGGCTACTTTTTTTTTATAAATTCATGTTATAGGCCTTAGAGAGAGTCTAATTATACAGAATTGGCTTGACTATTCGGAAGGTAATGTCAAAAGGGTTTTTTATTGAGTATAATAATACTAATGTAACCTATGAATACATAAATTTGACAGAAAAGGTACAAAGGCTTGTTATTAAGATGTTTAAGCAAGTAAATCACTGCTTTATTATTATGAATGCATAAAATTGTCCCAAAAAAGGCACAAACCCTTCAGTAGTTATTGAGATAACAGCTTACAAGCAAAACTTTACCATGAATTTCCAAGTTGAAAAAGGGGAGAAAAATCAGCCTAAATGCAAGATAGAATTATGGATCTTTGTCAGTGACCTACAATTATGACCCTAAATGCATATGTGAAGTTTTAAATAAATATCTTTAATAGTTATTGAGATATGTAAAACTTGCATGTAAACATTAACCAAGAGACTAAGTAGAAAAGGGGATATGAATCAGCCTTAATGCAAGACAGAGTTATGGAACTTGGTCAGTGACATACAATTAAGACCCTCCAATTATGACCCTAAGTGCATGTGTAAAGTTTCAAGTAAATATCATTAAAGACCTTTAACCTTTAACCAAAATTTCTAAGTTAAAAAGGGGCAAATAATTCTGCAAATATTGCAGACAGAGTTATGCAATTTTGCAAACTGATGTACATTGTTACTATAAATAAGTATTTTAAATTTCAAATGAATATCTCAAGCAATAATTGAGATATTTACAAAAAAACTTAAACCAAAATTTCTAAGTTCCAAAGGGGCATAATTCTGTCAATATTGTAGGCAGAGTTATCCAACTTTTCAATCTGATGTATCTTGTTACTATAAATAAGTATTGTAAGTTTCAATTGAATATCTCAAGCAATAATTGAGATATTTACAAAAAAACTTAAACCAAAATTTCTAAGTTCCAAAGGAGCATAATTCTGTCAATATTGTAGGCAGAGTTATCCAACTTGTCAATCTGATGTACCTTGTTACTATAAATAAGTATTGTAAGTTTCAATTGAATATCTCAAGTAATAATTGAGATATTTGACTTTACAAAAAACTTTAACCAACGCAGACGCCGACGCTGACGCCGACGCCGGGGCGACTACAATAGCTCTCATATTCTTCGAATAGTCGAGCTAAAAATGCTTGATACAGTTACCTCCTCCTGTTTACAGGTTGGGGTCATGATGGTGAACAAGTGTGCAAAGTTTCAAAGCCATATGTCAATGGACTTTGAAAATATTTGAACTATTACAAAAACTTTAACATAAATTCTAAGTCGAAAAAGGGGCAAAATTCTGTCAAAATGCTTGATAGAGTTACCTCCTCCTGTTTACAGGTTGGGGTCATGATGTTGAACAAGTCTGCAAAGTTTCAAAGCCATATGTCAATGGACTTTGAAAATATTTGAACTATTACAAAAACTTTAATGTAAGTTCTAAGTCGAAAAAGGGGCATAATTCTGTCAAAATGCTTGATAGAGTTACCTCCTCCTGTTTACAGGTTCGGGTTATGATGGTGAACAAGTGTGCAAAGTTTCAAAGCCATATGTCAATGGACTTTGAAAATATTTGAACTATTACAAAAACTTTAACATAAATTCTAAGTCGAAAAAGGGGCATAATTCTGTCAAAATGCTTGATAGAGTTACAGGTTGGGGGCATAATGGTGAACAAGTGTGCAAAGAATCAAAGCTATATGTCAATGGACTTTGAAAATATTTGAGGTGTTACAAAAACTTAAACATAAATTCTAAGTTGAAAAAGGGACATAATTTTGTCAAATTGCTTGATACAGTTACCTCCTCCTTTCTACAGGTTTGGGTCATCATGGTGAATAAGTGTGCAAAGTTTCAAAGTCATATGTCAATGGACTTTGAAAATATTTGAGGTGTTACAAAAACTATTTCAAGGACTACCTAGGATGGGTAGAGAACTAGTTAGGATAGAAATGGGCAGAGGACTATCTAAGACAAGAGCCAGTTGAACAGGGTGATGCTCCCCAACTAGGTTTTGGACACAGAAAAGTATATCTTTTGTAGTTTCAGAGTTATGTCCCAGACAAAGTTCAAAGTATGATAATTCCAAACTTAGGCAATGCAGAGTTACTTTTCTTTGCACTTAACTTGACACGTCGTCTCAATATGTTGATCATTTCTGTGAAAAAGTTGTAAAATCCAACTTCAAATAACAAAGTTATGGGCCGGACCTTCAAGGTAGCAACCTAAAAGTTGCGCGACATGTCGTCTCAATATGGTGATTATTTCTGTGAAATATTTGTAAAATCAGACTTCAAATAATGAAGTGATGGGTTGGACACAATTTTGCTTCAAGGTCATGCTGTGACCTTGACCTTCAAGGTAGCGATGCAAATGTTGTGCGTGACACGCTGTCTCAATATGGTGATTATTTCTTTGAAATAGTTGTAAAATCCAGCTTCAAATAACAAAGTTATGGGCCAGACACAAATTCGAGACGTACGGACAGTCGGATGGACAACCTGGCGACTATATGCTCCCCCGAAATTTTTCGGGGAGCATAATAAAAGCATGAAATGTGTAGAGGGTTATCTAGGATTAATATCTGCAAAGTTTAATCAAAACAGACCAAAGAATTCAACAGAAAATAGAAATTGAAGACACCAGGCCAATCTCAATACATTGTGATAATCATCATAAACTGTTCAGATCTAAAATGTTCATATTATGTGAAACAACAACTTACTCGGACAACCTGCAAGTTTTTGGTAATTCTTTACTCCATTCTATATTTCCACCATCTGAATGCTGGACTCCCATAATTACTCCACTTTCTTTATGTCGAGTAATTTCAAACCTGTAAGATATAATGGTCAAAAAAACGGACCACTATAACACTGGGTTTTTCTGGAAACGTTCACAAAATATTTCTGTCAACAAGTTCATGTTCTAACCTGGACATTCAAATTAAGTATTCACCACCTTGTTTCTGTAAGGATTAGAAGAACTTCTCTACTTTGCATATAATTCAAGAAAAATACATTTAATATTATACTCGAAGTTTTTTTAAAAGCATTCCAGAAATGCATTTTGAGTTGCTTCCCTTTATACATAAACATTGAGCTCCTTGAACCTTTGAATAACACACTTGAAATAGTATATTAAACAACAACCATATTTTTCTCCAAATTTATATCTGTAAAAACATCTAAGGGGATATTCAACTTTGTTTATGGTTAATTAACAAATATACTTTGATAGTCATGTATACAAATTGGTTCGTACCTATGAAAACTTTATAAAATGATCAAGTGATAGAAACATTCATGTATCAAAAATACAAATAAGTTGCCTTTTTTTGTTTTTAATGAAAGGATCAAAATATTTTATTCAAAATTTTTATAAGCCTGATCCTCTGAAGATATTAAATATATTCTGTTTATGTCTAAAAAACTCAATATGAATTGTAAACATTTAAATCAAGGTAAACCAACCCAGCCCCAGTACTGGCCCATTTTTATATTTACTTACATTTTCTGTCTGTTTCTCCTTCCACCATATGGTTTAAAAGGTAATTGGCCTGTTGCAACATGAAAGAAGGTAACACCCATACTCCATAAATCTACAGTAGCAGTAAACTGTCTCCGATTAGGGTTCCGTAATACAGCTCTCTCGTACATGTCAGGATGCTGTAAAAATGAAAAACAGAATTTTCTATTGTCATGATTTATACAGTCAAACATGTAAGAAGACTCATTATTTCTTGTAAAAATAATTCTAACAGTCTTTATTCTTGCATAAAAACTGCAAACACAGTTTAACATTAACAGAGAAGAAAACATGTATTAACGGATAGATTGTTATGCACCACCTGCCTGACTAAGAGCGCCATGTTAAAACAGGTTTACGCAATTAAGGCCCCATAGATTTATAATCAAAACACAACTGTCAAGTGACAGTGCACTAGCACATGGAAAGCATGGGTCAAGCAATAGGTTTTTTTTCTTACGAAATACAGATGACAAAACATGAAATTACAGATTATGACATATACTTTTATGCAAGAATAGTACTAACGCATCTTATTTTCATGCCTTAACAACTGCAGAAACTCTCAGACTTAATAAAACCCTTAACCTGTGCAGGCTTTGGCTTTAAATGTATCCTAGTGCTTCTGCAGATGTAAATGCATAAATAAAGGAGCATCGACCCTCTATTATCTAACCTAATACTTTACAGAAGTAAAACCATAAGAAGCTTTATTCTTCATTTCATGTAATGATGTTTGAGTCAGAGTTGATTGGCATATTTAAATGTTATGTCCTAATCACTTGTCTACAAAAATACTACATTTTACATGAATCTGGTTTAAAACTATTTCTAAAGTAGAAAAAGTCTTAAGTTGTCAACTTAAAGCACCGGCATGTAATGAAAATGGTTATTTTCTTTGCAGGTTAATTCTGTTTGAACCTCTGATAGACTGAAGAAAAATTTTTAGTGACCTTAATGAAACTTTGTTACTTTCATGTATATTGTTTAGGACAAGTAGTCATCCTATTAACCTTAAATCTAAAGTTTACAATTTAAAAGCTTGAAATTAACATATCAGCATTGAAATACATGTACTAACAATTACATGAGCTATTTCTTTAAATGAAACTTTTCACAAATAGAGATTGCTATGGACAACACACCAAAACTGTATCAATACCAGTTCAAAGTGAAACACAATAAGAATGGTGGCCATGAGATTTCAGGCTATGAATGATGATGATGTTTATGACCCCAGGTCTTCCCTAGATGAACTTTTAACAATGATTTTATTGTGTCCCTGGGTTTCAAACCAGTACTTACTGTTTCTCAGCTACTGTTGTAAGGCTTGTCCAGTAATCATCCATATAGCCATCTCAAGAAGTAAATAAATGAACACTAACAACATTCACTATGTATTTGTAAAAGCGCTCCATATTGAAAATTTTCAGAGGATGGACCATAACTGAAATTTTCTCTGAAGTGTTTAGATGAACTGGAAATTTCTCGGAAGTTTGGAAAATAACTTTTTTCAGAAAGTAGGGCATACCAGGTATTCTTCGGTTCCATATAATGACATAAATTGTTCTTCTTCATGGTCGAGCTGTTTAGCAGCACCAAAATCTGTTAGTTTATATATAGATCTGAAAATAAATGAAGCAAAACATTGTCTTAAATGGTTAAATTGCACCTTTTATGAAAAGTGTAAGCTGTGTGTACCAAAAATGTTCATAACTTCATCAAAAGACTGACCTTTTTGTTGTGAAAGAAACTCTTTGTGTCAGGATGTGAAGCAAGTTTTTCTAATGTTTTGACATGCTATATATACAGAAAATCCTGATAGAAGAAAGTATGTGCTGCATTTTTGTAATTTTTAATTTGCTGAACATCTTGAAAGCCTTTCAAGTTATTTATACTTTGTTTCTCTCTTTTTCCAATTACTGTCGAACCGTATTTAGGAGACCTAAACAATCAGTTTAAGTCATGCCAATCGGCTGTATTGGAAGTCATTACCAGTTATCACACCAGTTTTAAATATTGAAGTCCAAAGAGATTTTAACCACCAGTGGGATTCAAACCCTAGGACCTTCTCTTAATAAGGAGTATAATGTTCTACCCATAACACCAATATTCCTCCCAACTATTTACCTTCCATCCTCGCCTATGTATCTGAGAATATTGCCAGGTTTTATGTCCCTGTGTACAATACCACTGTCCCTCATGTATTTCATTCCAGCAGCTAAAATAAATCAAAAAGATAAACATAAGAGTTTGGTAAGACTGCTGAAAATTGTATTACAATATAATAATGGTATCTTGGTTGTATTACAATAGAGTATCTTGATAAATTAAGATGTAATAAATTCAGATTGTAATGTTCAACTCTTTCTAAATTAATATCAACTATATCATAGTCCATTTTTATAAATGCTTATTATGCTATAAAAATGTCTAGAATAGCAGAATACATTGCCATGTATCGTTACTGTTCAAACAGTTAAACCGGACAATAGCAGAATGTATACCCATGTATTGGTACTGTTCAAACAGTTAAACCAGACAATAGCAGAATGTATTCCCATGTATTGGTACTGTTCAAACAGTTAAACCAGACAATAGCAGAATGTATTCCCATGTATTGGTACTGTTCAAACAGTTAAACCAGACAATAGGTACTGTTCAAACAGTTAAACCAGACAATAGCAGAGTATCATGACTGTTCAGTTAAACCAGACAATATTTGCCATCTTTTTATCAGAATATACCATATATCAACAGGTTGATATGTAATTCATATGTTTGAAATCAATATTTCTTCATCAGTTAGAGAAATGTACCTAAATCAATAATGTTACCACTGATTGAACACCATTGGAAAACACTTTATTACTTGCAAAAAACATAACTTACCTTGTTGATACAGAGTTATCTTTTCATAATGAACAAGTATTCTAACCAATACTAACAATATAAATATTAAAGATAATATATTACGGTAAGTAAAAAAGGGTCATACCTGGACAGAAATTCTGACACCAAATGAGTACATGTAATATATATGGTTTAATACTTACTGACATGTTCAAATACAATCAAGAACTCTTCCTCTGGAAGTCCGTAAGCATTTTTTGGATCTTCTAACATGTTGAACAGGGAGCCATGTTCTGTTAACTGCATAATGATTACTTTATTTCTTGTTGATTGCTGTCAAATATTAAACAACTCATAACTGTACAAAAATAGTAAAAAAATCAATAGATTTGACAACATTTATCACAAACTATAGCAACTATGTATAATACTTTTTTAATGAAAATAAAGGAAAAGATTTTTCAGCTGGCTGTATAACATAATGTGTAGGACTATGATTATAAGAGGATTGTAATAAATGGTCAGTAATATAAAAGCTACTGGATGGACATCCTAATGAGGTGTGTGTGAATATCATGTTTTGCAATTTAAACTTTGTTTTTGTTTGATTAAAACTGTTTAACAGACATTACTAATTTGCTGACATTTTGGAGTATAAAGTCATCCTGGGAGATGATATAATGGGCCAGGCAACTGAAAGTTTATAGTACAGTTATTTCTTTGTCCAATCAGGCGCACACACTGCCATTTTATCTTTTTATTCATTGTAAAAAGGTACTTTTTGTATGTAGTTATCACTGTAAATAACAAAAATATAAGCAAACTGCTGTAATATTTCAACAGTCTTTTAGTAAACATGATTTTATAACAAGAACTGTCGGAGGACAGTAACGCTCGACTATTCGAAAATTTGTCACAAAGGTGTTTCATTGAGTATAATAATGCTCACCTATATGAATACATAAAATTGTCCGAAAAGATACAAACTCTTCAAGTTTCAATACATTCCCTTCAGTAGTTATGGAGATACAAGCTTACATGCAAAAACTTAACCAAGAATTCATGAGTCGAAAAAGGGGCATAATTATGTAAAAAAGCAAATCAGAGTTATGGGACTTGTGCCAATCATCTTAGATAATCACAGAGAACAAGTGTGTGAAGTTTCAATCCATTCCCTTCAGTAGTTATGGAGATACAAGCTTACATACAAAAACTTAACCAAGAATTTCTAAGTCGAAAAAGGGGCATAATAATGTAAAAAAGCAAATCAGAGTTATGGGACTTGTGCCAATTATCTTAGATAATCACAGAGAACAAGTGTGTGAAGTTTCAATCCATTCCCTTCAGTAGTTATGGAGATACCAGCTTACACGCAAAAACTTAACCAAGAATTTCTAAGTCAAAAAAGGGGCATAATTATGCAAAAAAGCAAATCAGAGTTATGGGACTTGTGCCAATCATCTTAGATAATCACAGAGACCAAGTGTGTGAAGTTTCAATCTATTCCCTTCAGTAGTTATGGAGATACCAGCTTACACGCAAAAACTTAACCAAGAATTTCTAAGTCGAAAAAGGGGCATAATTATGTAAAAAAGCAAATCGGAGTTATGGGACTTGTGCCAATCATCTTAGATAATCACAGAGAACAAGTGTGTGAAGTTTCAATCCATTCCCTTCAGTAGTTATGGAGATACCAGCTTACATACAAAAACTTAACCACAGGGACGCCGACGCCGACAAATGGGTGACTGCATTAGCTCGATTATTCTGCGAATAGTCGAGCTAAAAAGTCATCAATCTAATTTTTCATAATAACAGCATAAATCAAAAACTATGTTTATTAAACGATCAGATTAGACTTCAACATAAGACCGCTTCTCTAATATTTGCCAAGTGTCCCTTTCTATTATTTTCTAGAGTAACTTTTACATGTCAAAGCAACAAATGTATCATCAAGGCTTTTATTCTCCAATTGTGACCATGTCATAAAACTTTTCTGCCAAGTCATCTCAAAATCCATCCACAGATGGCACAAAAATACAACTGACTCATTTCTAGACATTTGATCTCTCCATAACTAACTAGACATAGTGCAGCAAAAATTTGTATAATAAATGAACATGCACTAATTCAAATACATTTTTCACTGCATCTTTTACTGCAGACATTAACTAAGATAATATTTCTTAGATATAAATGGTTATACCTCGTCTTCAATTGCCAGCATGGGTACAATATTCTTATGTTTGAGTTTGGTCATCACCTCAAATTCTCGCATCTGGACATCGTGAGGTCGCATGTGTCCAGCTTGGCTGAAGACCTTCACTGCAACCTCTTCTCCTGTGCTCTGAAAAGACAAAATATAACCAACTTGACCAAACTGTTGTTTTTAAAGAGAATAATTTACCAGACAAAATTGAGTCCCTTACTATTTGTCTTTTGCACAAACATTTTTGAAGCTTAAAAGGTCTTATCTCTACCAAGAAATGTCATTTTATATCACTGAAAATAAAAAGCAAAATTTTTCTATTAAGAGCATTATTATACTGCAATTTAACTTTATTTCCCTTTGGTTACCCCCACATGAATACATGCTTGACTGGCAAAAGTTATAAATAAACACACAACTACGTTTCTGATTTAAATGCATTATTTGGAGTGTTTAAACAATCAAGTTTAACAGAAAAGGTAAATACAACTTGATTTTCTGCTAGAAAATTACTAGAAACTTATATTTCTTGGTTAGATTGTCATAAATTCATAAATTCAATCTCATGCTGACCTAATTCTAGATTAGAATACAAAATGTCACGTGATATCTACACATACGGAAAAGACGTAGTTTGTTAAGTTTGGATTTATTTTATAAATAGTGTTGGGGATTTTATTCCATGTGCTTCTGGAGACATGTGGACAGTGAGTACTTTCTTTTCTTTCTTAAGCTATTTATTTAATTGCATCTAGATGAAAAAATTGAGATACATCAAAATACTATTAGAATGTGTTTACAAACTCGCATAATCATGGCAAAACTGTAAAGTTAAATATCTCCATGCTGTCAAAGTACATGTAATGTATACAAGACTGTCAAAGTTATTGAAATTGTTTAACAAGATTTTTATTCATCTCAGTATTTTTTTTTTTTTGTTGTTGTTTTTTTTTTCAGTTTCTAACTTCTATTATGGTGTTACTAAAAGTACATTTGTATTATAAATAACTTGTTACTTATCTGTAATGAAAAAAGAAAACCAACAACATTAATGTTTTGTTGTTGTAAGGATAATCTGTTTTGGAAGATAATTGACTTCCAAGCACTTTCAATCATTTTTTTGTTTGTTTGCACTTAGTTGACATTGACCTTTATGACATGACCTTGATCACTGTTAAAAACTAGACTTTAATTTTGCAATATTTAGTTTCCAAAGTGAAGATATTTCAGAAAATGTGATCTTTTATATAAAATAAATGATACAATTTTTATGCGTGTTAATTACCCTAAGAATAAAATGATAACTGTTGAAGTGCATAAAGCCTTAGATATCTGCTTCAAAAGTTATCATTTTAATGTTGACAAAATACCTTTATGAAAGAAATATGTTTAAATAATTCCTGAGGAGTAAATGGTGCATGCACAAAATCATTATCAAACAATACAAGTCCTCCTAAAAGCAAGAGCATATTATTTAATCTTACCCATGAAATATGGTGCTATATCAATTAAATACTTTGCATAATTATATCATATTAAATTTTGTTAAAAAATCAATATGTAAAATAGGCAGTCAGTATTTGCACTACTTTCTCTAATGTCTCAGGTCAGTAGCTTCAGCTATATTCATTTCATTATCTGATATTATGTGGTTATGGTCTAGATGACTGTGATAAATTGTGTAAAGTTTTTTATTTGAACCACATCAATATTTTCTGCACAATGTACAAATGCAACTTAGGTATCAAATAAGAGTTTTTACTTTAAACATCTTTTATTGTTTTTTTTTCTTGGAGGTAAAATCAAATAAAAATATTGTTTTGAGAATTATGCAGGCTTTCTACTGCCTCTACCAAAAAAACTAGGGAAAAAGTAGGGCATTTTTTTACCAAAAAGTAGGGCAAAGTAGGGATTTCTGATGTTAAAAAGTAGGAATAAAGTAGGAATTTCTTACTGTTTTATTTAAGAATTAGCAAAACATACCACCACTAAGACCACATCAGGCTGTGTGTATCTTCAGTTCAGTCCATGCTTGAAAGACAGGCAACTCATAGCCAAAATGTTGCTTAATGTTTTGCCAAGGCACCATGAGCAGAGCTGCATCAGTACTAAGGGTGTAGTACTTAAGTACCAGTACCAGTACTTGCCAAGATTTGCAGTACCAGTACTTGATTTTAGCTTGGTACTGCAGTACCAGTACTTTTTGGGGGGAAGTAATTAAGTACCAGTAGACTACTAATACTTTTATATATTCATCAAAGTTTGAATAAATACACAGTGTCATTCTAAATAATTGCAAACATTATTCAACAAAGAAATTAAAAATCATTTACTTTAAAGTTGACATTACATTTTTACAACTTAAATGAACGAACATACTTTTTACAAACAATAATTACAACATATATTCATGTCATATGTTATTGTTTAGTAACCAGTCAACTGTAATACAATGCAATAATCTTACATTTTAAACCCACCAGTCTTTTTGTTTCCTAGCTTTCACATTTTCACACCTCTGTTCATTTTATACCAAAGTAAATAACAACTTTTTATGGTGCTAACAATATCACTTGAAATAGGATTATTTAGAATAGAAGTAATTTTTTTTACTAGTAAATACAAAGTAATAAGATTGCAATAGGATATTTTATCAGTAAAGAGTTATTGACTCTGTTTATCTCAATTTTAATTTTACTTTAAGTCTTTGGTGCTTTTTTATGATAAATACTAAGTTAACATTTGAAGGAATATTGGAGCAAATTATTTATAGTTTGATAACTTACTTTTTCACAAAAATAAAATAATACATGGAATTTACAGCTTTACTTTATGAGTAAAAATAATGACATTTTTATCAAAACCAAAAATACTGCCTAATGTAATGCAGTAGCAGTACCACCTTTCTAAGACAGCAATGCAGTACCAGTACCTGTGTAGTAGCAAAATTTTGTAAGAGTACGGTAATTCAGTATCAGTATCAGTACTTGCAAAATCGCTGCAGTACATACTGCAGTTCCAGTAATGCAGCTCTGACCCTGAGTCTTTCAAGGATGGACATCACAAGGAGACACACACACACACCTGAACTACTTATCAATTGCAACTGAAAATGCAACTGAAATACCACTTTAAATATCTTCTTTTTTTCATTTCATTTCAAAATGAAAAAGTAGGGATAATAGGGCTATTTCAGAAAAAAGTAGGGCAAAGTAGGGATTAAAAGAAAAAAGTAGGAAAAGTAGGGACCAGTAGAAAGCCTGAATTATGGAATATATTTTCTGTTCTGACTTCTAAACAATAAACATGTATGGGATTTTATCATATTTCAGGAAAATATGTTCTATATTTCTCTCAAACCAAAAAAAATTCCCTCCTTATATTTTGTTATAGGAAATTTTATTCTGTTTACATTACTGTGTTAGTTCTGCAGTAGAACTATGGTGATAAATACTGCAAAATCAGTCATCAATCACACAATAAGCATGTTGATTATCCCTTGGATCTCTGGAGGCATGCATACTTATTACTTTTTTTCTAACATCCAACCTTTTTTTTAGTATCATAATTGTCTAAACTTCTGCCAGTGTATAGCTACAGATCCATTATAAATCCGACTCAAGTCTCCTTTTGTCTAATTCTATTATTTTGATATTGACAATATCAAACCCTGGCCATTTGAGCAAAGCTGATAAACTTTTCTGAACATCAACATTCATGAATGGACATGTAACTGATTAAACCAATAGGTCTCAAGAAGATAACAGAAAATATTATGTTATTCTAATATTTTAAAATGTATCTTCAAAAAATATTTTTTTTCCAAGAAATAAAAATGTCGCTTTAACACTTTATAAGTTCAATACTGATGAAACTTGGCACAAATGTTGACTGGACCATCATATCTTTAACAGCATGCTCAATCTTATATTTCCTGTTACCATGGCAACAGGGGTGGGGGGACGTCTCAAAATTGCAAAAAATCACTATTTTGCATTGTTTTTTTTCCATCAAAACAGATTTCAAAGTGCTGCAACTTCTCAATGTCTCAATGCATTGAGACAGAGTAAAAGGCTTTTCAGCGTTGGTTACACATTACCTTAAGATCGACCGGAGGCCATTATGAGTCTGTCACATATTGTCCAAAATTTTCTTGACGATGAGGGGGATTGCCCCCCTTCAAACCCCCCAAACAGAAGAGGGCACATCCCCCTTCTGGCAACCCCTTGTTGTATCATTTTGATGGGGGGTAGCGCCAAAAAAGTGATCACTTTTTTTTAACAACACTTCTCAAACGAAAACCAGTGTTGGGGGCCTAAATGGGACATTTTTTCACTGTTTGAGGCCTCAAAAAAAGGGGGGGCGGGCAAAAAGCATTCAGAACCCTTCTATAGGAGGGAATTGCATTTAAATATATATATTTTGACATTTTTGCTTTGGAACCTGACAGTCCCTTTTTTGCCTATCGGATTTTACGTTCTTTTATCATACATGTACTACGGAAATGGTTTGGATATTTGTTATAATTCATAGCACTAAATAGTTGTTTGTTATTTTCATAATTCATAATATCATACATATACATGTATACATAACTATATATAATGATCAATATATCAATTTAAATTTAAAACTTGCAATACTGGGTACACCAGCCTACACATTATCTAACCTAGAAAATCAATCTGATGGATCCGGGCATTGTGTCACAATTGCGGCGAATTGCCCCAGCAGTTAACCTGCACTTTCTTTTCTAAATATATCGGGTGACTTATTCAAGAGAAAATATGTTTTATTGAAGATTTTGCCAACTTTTTAATATCTTAATGGGAGATCGAGCAAAATTTTCATTTCTTCGTCGTTGACTTTTTCATTCATTATTCTGTAAATGTCCTCAAAATAAATGCACTAGACAGTCACAGGAACTAAACTTTTCTCCCTATTAAGAATAAAATGGTGGTTTCCTAACTTGACCCATATGCCCAGATGATATCTGACTTTGGAACAGTCTTTTGCCCAGATGATATCTGACTTTGGAACAGTCTATTGATAGAAAACTAAAGGCTATATATTACTTTAGGCAAATTTAGCTTATCACTTTTGGATACACAAAGTTTAAGGTTTAATACTTTACTAAAACCCGGTGCATTGACAGTAAATTGTAAAAATCTTACAGAGCTTCATGAAATGTATTTCAAAATATACCCCCCAAAAAAGAAAACTAAAGGCTATATATTACTTGTGGCAAATTTAGCTTATCACTTTTGGATACACAAAGTTTAAGGTTTAATACTTTACTAAAACCCGGTGCATTGACAGTATAAAATTGTAAAAATCTTACAGAAACTTCATGAAATGTATTTCAAAATATACCCCCAAAAAATAAAATCAAAATGTACAATTAACCACTTTTTTACACCTATAAAATAACATATTTTAGTTTTAATTTGCCTTAATTATCATCAACATGAGCAATTACATATTTTTATTGTGATCCAGAATTTTACTTCTTCTGATAGACACTTCCTGTTGTGAAACAAGCTGTAATGATTAACATCTGGAAACAAAATTATTAATTATTCATGAAATGGCAACTTGATTTTCACCTGTAACCATGACAATTAATAATGTGCTTTTCAACAACTGGGATAATCATAAATTGATTATTACTTTTAAAAGGACAACATTCTCAACTTTTCCCTGTCAT